TCAAAAAAATATCAGCCCCTATTCAGTAACATGTTTCCATAACGAACTCTCGAATGTTCAAACTCAATAGTCTACATTGGCAGTTTTATATGTATGTCTAATTTCACTGCCATATTATTAATGGAAGTTAATGAAGTACATAGAAATTTGTTTAGGTCGCTAACTTTTATACACTGCCATATTTTCACCCTTGTCTCCCACATTATATATAGAAGACAATTTCACTGCCAAAAAGTGTTTGTATAACATGATCAATCTGTACTGCCCATACATTTATAGCTACCATATTGAGTAACACATTACATAACAATCTCTTTCATGGTAAAGCCCTATTGTCATAAAATCAACCACAAGTTGTTTGCACAATATGAAAGTCAAATAATAATTTATAACATTGGTAGTTTTATATGTAAGTCACATTGTCACTACTTCTTTATAAAAAAATTTATGTAGTTTTTTAAATATATAATTCCTATTTTTAGATATACAATAATTTTTACTTATATTGATTTGAAAATAACTTCAATCAAACATCGTAAATCGAATAAGAGCCCTATTTTGGATGAAGGAAGTATTTATAATTGGCATACTTTTATGATATAATTTTGATATATCGTACTTTTATTATATATATTTATTCAAAACTATATTAAATTGATTGACGAGAGAATTTGATAAAAAAGAGTACTATGCAACTATGCACAAAGTATACATTATGTGAGTCCGAATTTGATATAGGAGTTGAAAGAGGAATTGAAACAATTGATAGTGGGATAGATAAAAGGGATTGACAACATAAAGGGTATGATTGGAAGAGATTGACAACATAAATAACTAATTTGGTAAAAAACAATAAGCAGTGCTAAATGCGTAGTATTAGATGAGTTAGAGTGCTACATAGGGTGATTTCTTTTATATTAATTAATGACCGAAACTTATCTAATACTTCGTATTACTATGGTATATGTAGTCAATCTTTCTTAATTTATATTTCTTCCGTCCCAAAATATTTGTCACATTATGTAAAATAAAGGAAAATTTTAATTTTTTCAATTCATTTTATTTAAAAATTGGTATAAAAATAAAAAAAATAAAATTTATGAATTTAAAAATTATGTCAAATGTTATTCGAAACAAGAAGTGACAAATAAACAAAAATTATCGTGATGAATTGCCCCTAATAAATTCACCAATTTGAGCCCCTAGAAAAATGGACGGATGAGAATCACACACTAAGAGCACTGGAAATACGTTTGAAGCCCCGGGGCTTCAAACTTTCTCTCTCGGCCACGTCAACTTTAATTTACACAAAAAATTCACTGGAAATGGGTTTGAAGCCCCGGGGCTTCAAACTGGGGCTTCAAACCTTCATTTTTTTCATTTATAAATATACATCTTCTAAATTTAAATTAATAAATTTAAATTAATTTATTATTTAATTATATTGAAACACGAATACAAAAAAATACATTCATTAAATTTAAAGAAATTGAAACGACAATAATTTAAAAATTAAAAAATTACATTCACTAAATTTAAAAAAACGACAATAATAAAAAAGATACATTAATAAAAAAACTAAGGTAAATTATATTTCGCCTTGATTTCTCTTTGTCTTTGCTCGTAGATCATCCGTTTGAAACCCGACAACGTAGAAAGGCCGGTTTCCATGATTTTGATCTCATCGTCTTGCTCCTTTCTCTTCAACTCCTTCTCTTTTAGCTTCAACCTCTCTTCTTCTCGAAGATTGAACACCCGAAGTTGTTCAACCATTGCCCGACCGATTTCGTCGCGAGAAGAAATGGAAGCAGAGGCGGACCCTCCCGAACCCAAGGCAATGGATTTTGCTTTGTTTCTTCCGATAGTCCGTGGAATGGGGTCCTCGTCATCGGAATCCGCAATGTTGAAGGGAGGGATTTGATCGGACGAACCGATAGTCTCGTCGACTTCAACCTCGGCGTCGACAGAGGATCTTTTTTTGACGATCCGCCGTCGGGATTGTTGAGATGTTGCCACTTCGGGGAACGACTCAAAATCCTCCAAAGATCGATGGGCACCTTGCCTTGGTGCCAGTCATCTTGATACCAGGTCGTGGCAAGCCGGAGAACATCGGCGTCGTTCGTCCCGCTCATCCGGGACCGGGAACATTCATCGTAAACTCCGATAAACTTTTGGACTTTACGGTTGATGTGGCTCCATTTGGAAGTGAGTTGGTCTCGGGTACGGTAGGAGCTGTCCTTGTTTGTCGCCGTGAAACACTTCTCCTCGATACGATCCCACATCGCATCCTTCGTTTGCTCCGAACCTTTAAATAGTATAACACGAAATTTTTTTATGACACGATTAAATATAATTTTATATAAATAAAAACATAAATATATTAGAAAACATATAATTTTTACCAATGATAGAATGCTCGGAGACGTCAACCCAAGCTGACGCCAATAAGCACTCCTCCTCCGGCGTCCACTTTTGGATTGACCGTGCTGCCTCGGTCATCGTCCCTTTTCCTTTGTGGCTCTTCCGGCGTGTACTTTTTTCGAACCGGTCGGTTCCGGTTGAATCTCCGGAACCGAATCTCGCTCGACGTACCCCGATTGTTGCGTCTCGAAGATCGGCGGTTGATCGCCCAACTCTTGGTAATACCACATCGCGGCATCGCTTGGCGCGAGATTGTCGGGAAAGAAGTCGGAGCCGGAAGAATTTGTGTTGAAAAGAGAAGTGGGAGTTTGAAATTGAAGAATGATATGTGTGAAGAAGAAGAAGATTCAAAAAGGTGTGAGAGAATGGGAGGGGGTTGAAATTTATAATATAAAAAATTAATTTTCTTTTTTTGGCTTCAACGTCTATTAGAGCCGTTAGGGAAGAGGGGGGAGGGGAAGCACCAGCGTCATTCGTTTGACATAGCTGCCATAACGCCGTGGTAACGCTGCAGGGGGGCGGTGTTTAACGCCCCCGAGGCGTGAAAAGGTGTTTAACGCCTACGGGCGTGATGGGTATACCGAGTGCCCTTAGGTTGTGTTTGGTTTCCCTAGTCTAATCTAAACTATTTTATTCCAAATATCCGTACTAATTGATGACCGGTAACGAGGAGCATCTTCAAGCATAGATATTGGGATTGAGCCAGCGGAAGTAGTTTTCTGAGGATAACCTCTACAAGTACAGAGTTATATCTTTCTTTGTAGCATGACGAATGAGCTTGAGATTACGTTTGCTAAGTTTTTTCCGGTGAGAGTGTAGGCGATTGGAGCGAGGACGAGAAGTACCTTTTTTTCTCCTTGTTGGCCATCCTCTGCTTCTCTATCACTTTCCATGTTCTTGATATCTAGAAAAACATAAACAAATGCAAATTTTTTGTTCTTCAATCCCACACATGATTTTTTTTAAAGAGAGAAATAATGGAATTTTTTTTAGGAAAGAGAGGGATAATGGACGGAGGCTGTTAGGCACGCTCGTCGAGATCGGTCGGTGATGCCATGTTTTCGGATGGTTGAGTGTTGTGAACAGAGACCGTCGATGTGCTCGATCAAAAAAAGAGTCTAGATTTTTTGATACTTTAGTTCTGATACCATGATACAATATGATAATAATTGGTTTATTAAATACTCTAGGTAATAAAAGATATATTCCTATAGTTAGATGGATCGTATTGCAAGAGAGAAATCTAATCTAAGTAGAAGAATAATTATAATAACAATACAATAAGAAAAGAATATACTCCGTACTTCGTAATAAGGATGGTAATACAAAAAATATAAGCTGAAAAAATAAGTTGAACGCAGATACAATTGGATATTAAACAAAATGCAGCCTTAATTAGATGAAGAAATCTCATACGGAGTACTATATGATACTCCATCTGTTCTCAAAAAATAAGTTGAACGCCATATTTTCGGACGGTTGACCATTGTGAACAGAGATCGACGATGTGCTCGATAAAAAAAGTCTAGATTTTTTGATACTTTAGTTCTGATACCATGATATAATATGATAATAATTGGTCTTATTAAATAATAAAAGATATATTCCTATAGTTAGATGCATAGTATTGCAAGAGAGAAATCTAATCTAAGTAGAAGAAGAATTATAATAACGTACGATACAATAAGAAAATAGTATACTTCGTAATAAGGATGGTAATACAAAAAATATAAGCTGGAAAAATAAGTTGAACGTAACGCAGATACAATTGGATATTAAACGAAATGCAGCCTTAATTAGATGAGGGAATCTCATATGGAATACTATATGATACTCCCTCTGTTCTCAAAAATATTTCTTCTTTCATTTTTTCACTTCCAATAAAATACTTCAACTTTCAATTTAAAAATAGAAATGATCCTAAATAGGATTAAAATATAGAAAAAGTACCAAAATAGGACTTTCATGTTTCCCCCCCCGAAATAGGACTTCATACTGTGGTAATGTGGTTGTAATGTGACACTGTACATGTGCGCATTACTATACTTTTTGGTAATGTACATGACCATGTTTGGTAATGTAAATACATTTTAAGTCATATTTCGGGAATAAAAACCGGGAAGTCCTATTTTGGTATATTTCTAATGTTCTAGTCTTACTTTGATCTTCCTCCCATTAAAAAATCACGTCTACCCTTAATTTTTCATACCCTACCTATTATATCATACTTTTTCTCTAATAATCTATCCATCACATTTTATTTTTACTTATCAAATCAGAGGCAAAATTAGAAGTCAGTTATAATTTAACACTTTCTTGTTTTTATACTTGATCAAAATAAGAAGGCTTTTTGGGAACAGAGGGAGTAAGAAGTGGAGTATTAAACTGCACAATAAATTTAAAAAGTTAAGGTTGCAACTAAAAAAATTGGCAATGGGGTAAGAGCACTAGTAATGGTTATGAAGCCCCGGGGCTTCAAACCGGGGCTTCAAACTTTCTCTCTCTGCCACGTCAGCTTTAACTTACACCCAAAATTCACTGGAAATGGGTTTGAACTTTGAAGCCCCGGGGCTTCAAAACTGGGCTTCAAACCTTCATTTTTTACATTTTTAAATATACATCTTCTAAAATTAAATTAATAAAATGTAATTAATTTATTATTTAATTAAATTGAAACACGAATAATAAAAAAATACATTCATTAAATAAAAAAAGCGTCAATAATTTAAAAAACGATACATTAATAAAAAAAAACTAAGGTAAATTATATTTCTCCTTGATCTCTCTCATTCTTTGCTCATAGATCATTCGTCCAAACTCCGACAACGTCCCGGGGTCGGTTTGCATGACTTTCATCTCAGCCTCCTGCTCCTTTAGCTTCAACTCCTTCTCCTTTAGCTTCAACCTCTCTTGTTCTTGGAGATTGAACGCCCGAAGTTGTTCAATCATTGCCCGATCGGCATCGGAATCCGCAACGTTGAAGGGAGGGATTTGATCGCTAGAACCGATAGTCTCGTCGACCTCAACCTCGGCGTCGACGGTGGATCTTTTCCGGAACGATCCGCCGTCGGGATTGTTGAGTTGTTGCCACTTCGGGGAACGACTCAAAATCCTCCAAAGATCGATGGGCACCTTGCCTTGGT